GGGCATTTGGCCCGAGCGGTCCGCTGCCAAAATGAAAAGGTGCACAACCTCAGCGAAGTCTACGCCATCGAACCTGTTGGTTCCCGCTCTGTTCTGGTAGGGATCCCGGGATCTAACATCAGGACTCTGGTCAGGTAATTATTTCTATGTTTTGTCCGGACTGAGGACTGTCTTGTCTCTGTGTCTATCCGTCTTCCCTGTGGTGTGAGTGAGTCTGGGAGCCATCCCTGTCCGGGGACTGGCTGACCAAGGGGCTCGTGTCCCCGCGGTCTGTGTGACTGGAATCTGTACAATCGCAGCCACACTGCACCTTGGATAAAATCCTTGGAGTGAACGCAAGGGCGATTGAGGCAGTAGCCTGTGGGCTTCTTTTGTGTGTTTCACTGGGCACCGCTCTGACAAACCCAAATTTCCTCCTTGTGTGATTGGTGTATGAAGTCCTCCTGTATGGGTAACTAGACGTCTAAGCAGGGATAGCTCCCTAAAGGGACCCTGGCTCAGCTTTTATATTTTAAAAAGGGTCTGAACTCCTGTAAATTTCTGGAAAAATGATCTAGATTGACTCTGGGGGGATCCCAAAATGCAGTGGACACTGTTAGGATCTTGAAACAAAGACCAAGTGGACGTCTTAAAAGACAAACTTGGCCTTCCCAAAACTAAATTGGCTAGAGGAGAGGTAGATTGCTTCATGCAGTGGTGGGACGAGGCAAATCTTAGATGGACTGAATCGAAGCCCGCCTCCCTTAAAATTCTAATTATAAGTAAAAAGCTTTATTGGAAACCTCCTCTCCCACCACCAGACCAAGCGCTTCCCTTTACCCCGTCCTCCAAGAAGACTCAGAAACCTCCTCTCCCACCACCAGACCGAGCGCTTCCCTTTACCCCGTCCTCCGAGAAGACTCAGACCGGTCCCACTTGGAGCTATAAACCCTGGACCCACACGGCGCTCCACTCAATTGTAAAAGGTTTTCCAAAGCCCCAGGAAAACCCTACCAAATTTGCAGAGGAATTTTTGCTAGTGTGCAATGCCTATGAATCCTCTGAAGCAGACCTCCTGCAACTGTGTAAGCTACTTATAACCCCTAGCGAGCAAGAAAAAAAAATGGCTCCTGATAGCAAATTGGCCCACCACTGAGCATCCTTCTAATTGACCAGACACTGGTCCTGACGCTGCCTACTGGAACAAATGTAAGAATCAAGCTAAGTGCCTGCATGAGGCCATTCCCCAAGTATGGACTCCAAAAACCAACTGGACGGCCATACATTGCTGTAAACAGCAACAGAGAGAGAACCCAGGGAACTATCACACCCGACTGACTGATGGGCCGGGTGGGGTTTTCTGCAACATTCTGTTATACAGCGACCGGGTGAAAATAGACAGGGCGCCCTGGCTCATGCGTTTGTTAATGGCCTCCTACCTGCTATTAGCAGTATGTTAAAGCCAATAAGTGTTGGATGGGAGGCCAAGACCATGGACAAATTGCAAGCAGTGGCAGAGCATTGCCACAGCACTCTAAAAGGGAAAGAGGAGCAGTCCTCACAAAAGCTAATGGCTCTGCAAATACAGCATTATTCAGGGCAGGGCAGACAGTACCGGGAACGGGGAGGGTACCAAGAACGGGGATGAGGTCGGAGAAGGGGTCGTGGGACTGGGTTTTTGGGATTTAGAGGTTTCAGCTCCGGTCATATCCACCCTGTGGGAACAAGACATTATTGTCCCGTGTTCCAGCCCCTGTAACACCCCTATCCTCCCAGTTCAAAAAGCTGATGGTAAATCATGGCGGTTTGTTCAGGATCTTCGAGCTATTAACTGCATTGTTGTACCCACCTTTCCTGTAATCCCTAACCCAGCAACTATTCTGGCTTCTATCATGCCAGATGCAACTCATTTTACTGTTGTTGATCTGTGTTCTGCTTTCTTTTCTGTCCCAGTTCACCCTAAGTCCCAGTATCTTTTTGCCTTTTCTTACAAGGGGCAGCAGTACACATGGACCATGCTTCCCAAGGGGTACACAGAAAGCCCGTCTTACTTTTCCCAAGCATTAGCCAGAGACCTCGTTGACCTGGTCTTCCCCTCTGGGTCCACATTGGTCCAATGTGTAAATGATCTATTCCTCTGTTCCCCTTCATTATCTGCCTCAGAAACTGACTCTTTAATGCTTCTCACTGCCCCCCACCTTAGGGTTACCTAACTACTATAAACCTTTTACTCTTTTCTGCCACGAGCAATCTGGTTGTGCACTTAGGGTTCTTACTCAGGAGCATGGTGACAAAAAAAATCGTCCAGTGGCTTATTTCTCTGCCACCTTGGAACCCCGTTGCCCAGGGTTTACCCCCCTTGCCTGCGTGCTGTGACTGCTGCAGCACGCCTAGTCGAAATGTCTGAGTCCCTTGTCCTCTGCTCTCCTCTTTCTCTCATGGTCCCTCACTCTGTAGAAACTCTCCTGCTACAACATAATACAGCTCACCTTTCCTCCGCCCGCCTCACTAGGTACGAACTTTTACTGCTTTCGGCTTCACATATCACCATAAAGCGCTGTTTTCAGTTGAACCCTGCCACTCTCCTTCCTCTGTCTAATGACAGTGAACCCCACGACTGCCTTGCAAGTGTCTCTGCTGTCACCGTCCCATGCCCCGACCTTTCTGATGTCCCTCTCTCTTAACTCTGACCTTGTGTTATTCACTGAAAGTTCCTGCTTTCGAGATAGACAAGGTCGTCTCCTTGCAGGATATGCTGGGGTATCACTCTCTGAAGCCCTAGAAGCTCCGCCGTTACCTTCTGTGACAGCGCAAGTCACTGAACTAGTTGCTCTAACCCGCGCTTGCTTTCTGGCTGAGGGACGCTCTGCCACCATTTATACTGATTCTCGTTACGCTTTTGGGGTTGTACATTGCTGCTCTCCTGTATGCAGTTTTACTCCCATCTGCATTAGCTATTGTTAAGTGCCCTGGCCACTCCACAGCAGATACTGATATTGCTAAGAGTAATGCTGCCATAGAACCTTCCCCAGGTGCATTTCTCTGTTCCCTTTCTGTCCCTTTCTGACCTCACCCTGCTCCAAGACTCTGCCCCAGAAGCAGAAAAAGACTCCTGGGTCGCTCTCTATACCCCGATTCCCTTCGGTGCTTGCCTACTGGTGCCTTTGTGGCCCCCTTTTCACTCTACCCATCTCTGGCCGCCCTGCTTCATGATGTTTCACATGTCGGAAAGGAGGGAATGGTTTCTGCTGTAACTAAGCCAGGATGGTGAGCCCCACATTTCAGCTGTTTTGCAACCCGCCACTGTGCCGCCTGTACCACTTGCCAAAGCTACAATGTTGGCAAACCTGTAAAGGTAGCTCACGGGTTCTGGGGCCTGCCCCAAGCACCGTTCTTGCATTGGCAGCTTGATTTTGTACAAATGCCTAAGTGTCAACGCTATGAATTCATTCTGGTTATGGTATGCTTATTTTCGGGCTGGATTGAAGCCTTTCCTTGTCGCAAAGCTGATTCACTGTCTGTTACCAAATGTTTGTTAAATCATATTATGCCTGCCAAAGGAATTCCTGCCACTCTGTCCAGCGACCGCGGTACACATTTTACTGGACAACTTGTTCAGCACCTGGATTGTGTGTTACATGTCACACACCTGCTGCACTGCCCCTACCACCCACAGAGTTGGTGCTGTTGAAAAACGAAGTGGTGTGCAAAAAAAAAAAAAAAAAAAAAGCTTACAAAAAAAATTTTTTTGACTCTGCAGGGTTAAGCTGGCCAGCAGCCTTACCGTTGGCCCTTATGGAAATTCAATCCACCCCATCCCAAAGACATAAATTAAGTCCTTTTGAAATTGTTATGGGGCGCCCTATGAGAACAATGGCTACCATTACTCCAGTCTCAGACTTGAACTTGACTCACAGTACACTCCTTCAGTACTGCAAGGGACTAATGCAAGCTGTAAGTCACTTCCATTCACAGGTTCAAGCTGCCTGGCTGACAGAACCCACCTCGGATGCCTGACACACTCTCGAGACAGGTGATTAGGTCTACGTACGACATCACCATCAAACTCGCCTTGGAACCCCAGTGGAAGGGCCCGCATCAGGTGCTGTTCATTACCCAGATGGCTGTTAAGCTATCCGGCATAGCAGCATGGATACATGCTTTGCAGTGTAAGAAGGCACCACCCCAAGCAGACCAGTCATCACCTCAGGACCACGCAGAGTCAATTTTGACTCCAGAAGAAGACGTAGAGATTAGTGTGAGACTTCTTTAAGTCTCACACTAATCATGTGAAGTTTTGCCCCTCCTTTTAATCCTGTTAACTTGACTTTTTTTTGACTGTATAAATCAAGGGCTTTGAACCTTGTATGGTACTCACATTTTCTGGATGCATTTTAGCAGAGCTTTGCTGAATAAACAGAGCGGTCTGACAAATCTGTGAGTCCTGTCTGACTTTGACACCGGGAACAGCACTCCACAGCCAATGGGAGCTGTGATCCCCTGTACCTGTACCTGTGGAGGTAAACACAGCGGTGGGGGGGGGGCCTGGCAGACAGGATCTGGCTCATGGGCTGGTATCCCCCTCTTTTTGCCCTCCAAAATACTTTGCTGAATAGAAATGAAGACATGTCTAAAATGTAAAACCATGCATCTCTTGATCTCATTCATTTTAATGAATCTTTTTTCTTTCTCTGTGCATGTGTTCAAGGAATACTTAAAAGGGTGATTTCTGTAGTGGCCCACCAAACCACAGAGAAACATGTTTGACGTTGTAAGAGTAAAGTGCAGGTTCTAGTGACCATCTTGTCACCACTGAGTCCAAGAGCTCCTATTTAAGGGTGTGGCTCAAATCCCATTGACATCAATGCACAAAGACATGTTGAAAGTTTTGCTTTAAACTCTTCCATACTGGGAATTATTCCTCACTTACCAAGAAACACTTTCCAAACATCTCTCCCCTTTGTGGCCAGTTATGACATGTTAAATACGGTAATTTAATGAAACATTAAACAAAATTTATTGTTATAAGTAATATTTGGGGAGGGTTCTAAGGAGTGTTATACGAGATACACCGTGTAAAATGGAGGAGTATACAATACCGGGACTCCATATTAACACTGGATCATTTTTTTTCTTTTCTCTTATTCCAATTCTTCCTGTATCATCTTTCATCCATCCTCACCAGTAGTTTGAGTTTCACCTTATACAAAAAGATCACATTATAGAAATAAAAAGAGCCTTATTGTCTGAGTCAGCTTAGTTACACGTACGGTGGGTGATCTTTTACCCTGGGGATAAATTTGAATTAAGATATGCAACTTCAGCTATGTTAATTGCGTAGCTTAAGTCAAAGTACTTTAACTTGAATTTTGGCTCTATCCACACTGCGGTAAATTGAAGGGAGCACACTCTCCCTTCGACGTCCCTTACTCCTCACAGAAGCAGAACTACTGGCATCGACAGCAGCACCCTCTCAGTTCAAATTAGTGTGTCCTCACTAAACCTGCTAATTTGAACCCGGGAAGATCAACTGTGGCTGCTTCGGTCTTACCTATAGTGTAGATGCTTATGTAATGCATGAGTTTAGCCAGAGAAGATATACAGCCTGGGCAGTAGCAATATGAGCTTCACCACAAATCCCCCATAAACATGGAAGGACCACCTCTGGGTGAGAGAGAGAAACTCAGTCTCTGTGTACCTTCAAGTTATATAATGCTTGATTGACATGGGAAATGGCACAAGCACCGCCCTAGCAACATGGCTGGCACTAGCCATAAAGCTTTGTCAGGTTGGGCCAAGTGTGACAATGGATTTTGGTGACAGTCACTTGACTGAGAACATAAGCTCACTTCAAGCAGTGGACAAAAACGTGGACTTTGTCAGCTGTTTGGTGGTCCACAAGCGACAGTTTTTAAAAGCACAGGCCTCTCTCAGGAAAAGATAAAGACACTATGGCATGACAGAAGTGGACTTCAGTGTCTGTTGCTTTCAATATGGCACCTTGGAGAGCCCTAATTTTTTTTTTTAACAGTCACTGCCATAGCCCAGCCAGAGGAAAGTTGAAATGCAACCATGGGATGTGTTATTATTTTACAAACTGGGCTAGTTTGGTGATCCAAGGGTAATACTGTGCACTAATAACCAGGAACCTGGGTCAGTTCCAAGATCTGGTCTTTTGCCCTCTAGGCTAGTCAGAACCAGAAGTGCTTCAGAGAATATTAACTTAGTCTGTGCTGTTAGAAGAGAATGTCTCATTTAAGCATTTGCAATGTTAACTGTTTTCTCCAGTTCTGTTCCCCTACTCTCCTTTCCCTTTGTCCTATCTCATGCATTTATGTCTACCTAGCATTCTTAGGGCACATCTACACAGCAGGGCTAAACTTGAAATAAGCTATGCAACTTGAGCTATGCTAATTGCATAATTTAAGTCAAAATAGCTTATTTTGACTTTTGGCACTGTCTACACAGCAGTTATATTGAAATAGAGCACTCTTCCCCCGACTTTCCTTACTCCTCGTACAATGAGGGTTACAGGAGTCAAAGAAAGAAACCTGTTATTTCTAATTCATTTCAAAATAATAGACTTGTTGTGTAGACTTGCACTGATGTTATTCCGAAATAAGACTGCTGTGAAGACATATACATAAATATATATAAAGTTTTTACTATTCAAGCAGCACTACTTCACAACATGCAAGGAGAATGCCAAGGTATATCCATTACAGTGAACCCTCGTTTATCGCGGTAGATAGGTTCCAAACCCGACCGCGATAGCTGAAAATCCGCGAAGTAGGCTTTGAAAGCCGCGGAGGGGCTCCGGCGGGGGAGCAGCCCAGGCGCGCCTGGGATGCCCCCCCGCCGGCTTCCCCCGAGGCTTTGAGGATCCTA